AATAAAATAAAATAAAATAAAATAAAATAAAATAAAATAAAATAAAATAAAATAAAATAAATGAAATAAAATAAAATAAAGCAAAGTAAAATAATATAAATAAAAAGAAGAAAAATTAAACAAAATAAAATAAAATAAAAATAGAGAATGCAATCGAAATCCAAGATTACTTACCAATTTACATTTATTAGCAACTTGCATTTTATGAGGGTCAACTCTTTAAAGTTTTTATTGGAATAGACCACCATTTTGCATATTTGCCTATTATTTTTTAATAAGTATATACTTGCGTTTGCTTGCGTAGACATAGAAGTAAGTATTATATAAACTTTAGCTATGTAGTATGAGCTTAAGCATTTAGAATGACCCTCGCGTGTCGTTTATGTCACAATCAAGTTCAATACAAAAATCTGTGCAATTTGTATGCGATTTGATTATCTTTTATGACCCTGTCCCGTTTTAGTGTCGCTCACACCTACCTCTGTTTAGAATGAATATACTGGTACATATACATACTACACAACTATTGCTGGTATCATTTGAACTTAGCAGAGAGAGAAAAACTGATTATTATCGCATAACCACTTCATGGCTTAACGCTAAGTTTCCGTTTCCTCCTACTTCCTATCCTAATACAGCAAATGTACACATTTGGTATACACACAATCACAATCCACTTTACAACAAGGACTTGGCACTTGCTCTAATGCCAAGTGCTTATGCATACTCGTATATAATTTTACATACTCACACGTATATACATATTTAAAATATGTGTGAATGTGTGTGTCTGCGCGTGTGTGTGTGTTGGTGACTGTCGTGCTTTGCATCTAAGTGGCGTTATTGTGTTAGTATGCGAGCTGTGGCACATCGAAGGCAATTTGTTTCCATACGAATTGCTTTCAATTATCATAAAAATGTTGCGCATTCAATCGCAATACGCATACATACACACAGACAGCCAATCATACGTTCGCACAGGCATTCGAGTGAAGGCACGCTGTTGCTTTTCTATAAAGCGAAGTTACACACAGCCGAGCTCACACAAACGTCTGGAAAATTCCCTGATTCTAACTGCTGATAATTTCAACCAAAAACGGACAAGAAGGAGAAATTTCTATTGATTTTCCTCAAATTCTCAGCATCTTCAGTTGAAGCATGAATTCCCAATGCAGCCATAAATGTCCTTTGCATACACAAACTACCAAATGAACAAGGTAAACGCTGAGCTTTCTACTGGCTGGCGGTCCTTACTTGAGTAAATATTCGTTGGATACGTCTATTATTTTAAAGACTAGGCATATCTGTGTATAAGTGTACATATGTATGCATACACATATTTGCGTTAGTAAATATTTACTTTACTTTTAACCAACCATAAAACTCAGACTCATTTACTTCTTCATCCCATTTGATTTGATTCGCCTATTTTATCCTTCTCCCTTCAGTTTGCTCACTATTCTTTCCATAATATTCCTGTCTATCTTCCATCTCGTAGGCCATTTAAGAAATATATGCATATGATAAATAATAATACAACAATTAAATAGTTAAAACTTAATAAAAATATTCACGAGTATTGGAATGTTTGAGTTTTTATGAAATTGTACTGCAGATTTGGTTTGAGCCGCCCGAGAATTTGAACAAAGACTACGCGTATACCTCTTGAATTCCGAGCGCCGACTCAGCAGTTGTCGGTATCGATACCGCATTGTTAGATGATGGAGGATTTTATTTTTCGATTTCCTCCTCATTCCATAGTAGCACATTTTGACTGTAATCTACCACTTCATATGTATCGTATATGCCATAAGTTACATGCTCTTATGGCAGATTGTACCGTCTCTAGTTAGCTCAGCTGCTCGTATTATTTTTTCAAACATTAAATTAAAGAGAAACAAAGTGTCCTTCGACATGAAACTTCCTTTAGTATTGAAAGACAGTGTAAAGATCTTCCTGATGATAACAGTGTTTTTTTTGTTACCCGCATAATCTTGTTGTGATACAAAGTTCAGACATAGCAGCGAAGATGTGGCTTCTTTTTGGGCTATCGACCAAGAGGTTTTGGTTTTCGATCCTCTGCCTACGGATTTGACGCGTGATGACTGTCTAATAAATTGTAGATTCGCTAGGATTGAAGCCACGCTGAAAAGGTTCAATAAGCTCGAAAAATCTTTTACGAGTGTGAAAACCCATTCCACGATAATTGGGGAAGTTTGCTTTCAGCCGACCATATTTTGCAAATAAGCTGATTTGTGCACCTTAAAGGCAGGTTCCTCATCATCAGTCGCATGAATACGCTCCGGTCTTGAAGTTTGTTTATTTTCCTCCTCGCTTATTTCACTTCCTTTTTTCTCTCTAAAATGTATCTTCTACTCTCGGTATCTCCCCAGACGACTCTGGTAGTCTCCAATGCAGTAAATCCTCATCGTACCAGTCCTAATTTTTGCTTAGTAGTTAAAAGTTAATTGTTTTGTTTTCTACAGTTGCCTTTGTGATTGCAGCTTTTCTACTTCGAAGCTTCCTTGTGTTGTGTTGTGTATTTGCTGCTACATTATAGAGCTCCGAATCCGGTACGTACAACGATCTAGAATACTGGGGACAAGTCGTTACTCCATCCCAAAATGATCTGCTGTACGGGGAAGAGCCAAGGAGCTCAATGAATTGTCTTATACTGGAGTCTAACAGTACAGGCCACCATCTTGTATTTACAATTAGAAAGCTGAACCAAAGCGAACGAGTACGGTATGGAACTTTCAAAAAAGGATATTTGAAAGCCTGTTAATCTAGAAACTAAAATTTAAGCCAATAAATGAATATACTCTAATGGACAATGAAAAATATAGTTTTTGAAAACTTTCCACACATCCGTTTCCGCTTAAAATATAGCAAACAACGCGAACAATACATAAAACCAAATATGTGTATAAACACTCATACATATATATTTATAAACATATAACCGCGTAGAGAGAGAAACTGCATTTTGCTCTTTGCTATTTGCTCTTGTGGGCAAATATTTTACGATTTTTTTTCTTTTTACTTTTTTCTTTTTTGCGATTCTCATATTTTGGATGCCTCTCCGCATAAGTTACACTGACTGCACGTTATTGCTGCTGTCAGCTTTTTTGCCGGCGTCTATTTCCGCTGTTTTTGGTATTTTCACTGGTGCTGGGCGTTGCTGTTGTTGAGCCTGCTGGAGTTTGTGGCCGTGACAAAAGCAGGTTATCGGCTAATTCGTTGAAATAACAGCTACTCTCCAACAGTTGGACTAATAAAGTGGAAAAACAATAACAACAAAAACAAAAAAAATACATATACATACATACGTACATACATACACATGTCTGTTCGCCACATATAATGGCAAGGTGAATTTCACGAACTGTGAATAATATGATTTTTATGGTGCACACGTGCGTTGAATGCAATTGGCTCGAGGCAAGCAAAATTTTCGAAATAAAAGTAGATTTTAGAAACGACAAATACATTAGAGATAGAAGCATAATTGAAACGGGAAATATGTAGTGAAAATCAGCCAGCGAAATTTGGGTATTTTCCCAGAACTGTGCTCAAACTTTATTCACGTTCAACTGAATATATACCGTTAAACAATACAAAACTCCACCTCAACCAAGAAGCTTAATAGCTGTAATTCCATGCGTTGCATGTTGCACGTCGGACGTGTTGGTGTTGCAAACCGCAACATAATAAAAAATTTTAACACTAAATTAATAAACAAAAGTTTATCACACAACTTTCAAAATGAAAAAATAAATAAATAAATAAATATGAAAACAAAAGTTGCCAAATATTAAATAAGCTTTATACTAAATCTCTAAAAATTCGCTAATATCTATCTATTTTACTTTATTTTCTATTTCACAGGCGCCAACACACGCCCCATGAGCACTTCACAGACGGCAGCCATGTCGGGCGTGCAACCGCATTTTCTCTCACGCGGCCATACATATCGCGCTGTGGTGGGCGACACTCTCGTGCTGCCGTGTCAAGTTGAAAATTTGGGTAAGTGTGAATATTTACTTGTTTTTGAGTGAAAATATAATCCTTCGGGCTTAATGGCTGACAAAATTGCTACTAAATAGTGTAAAATCGTGTGTGAATTTGTTATTATTATTTTTTTTTTGAATAAAAAACACTTTTATAGTATTTGAAATCCTTATTTCGTGCTTAGCTGAAAGGAAAAAGAAATGAAAAACAGTTATCAAAATGCTAAAAATATTATAGAAAAATTTTAAACGTATTCCAATAGAAAATTATTATTTGGGGTAAAATGCTTATCTAACGAAATTAAAACCATTTCTGCAAAAAAAAAATTAAAAAAGGTTAAATTAAAATCCTCCCGGCAGATGAAAGCACAGCTAACGATTGGAACTTAAGTGTGCGGAGCCCAATCCACATAAAAGGGGTACCATTGTCTGCGCCTCTATATGTCTCTATACAGCTTTGTCTAAATTTGGCACCACTGCAAAGTTTATATTGCTATACAAGCTGCCGGTAAGCGTGTAATAAATTTTAATTTATTACTGCAGAAAAATATAAGTAACTTACAGAGATGAAGAGAGCAGATGATGGCTTTCCCCGATGATATTAATATGATTGACCTCAACAACCACGTCATAAGCTCTGCATTCTCCCACTAGATAAGGAAACGAAGCGTATGGCTTTGATAGTGAACGAAGGCAAGACGAAATATCTCCTGTCAGCAATCAAATAGCCTTTGGTTTCACGACTCGGCACCCATTTCGCTATTGAGAGCCCCAACTTTGAGGCTGTAGATAATTTCGTTCATCTATGTGGGTACCAGAATTAACAATAGTAATAATGTCAGTTTTAAAATCCAACTCAGGTGGTACTTGTACTGGAGTGAGATGTCAAAATTAAAGTTCGCTCTCTGCAAACCAAACTCTACAAGGCGCTCATCATTTGCGTCCGGCTTTATTGTCCGATGTCGTGGACGAAGACAGCCTCTGATGAGTCAGCGATAATAGTTTTCGGGTGAGAACGGCAAATACCGCCTATGGAGAGTTGAGCTGTACGTGAAATACGTCGACTTTGCTGCAGGTTGGCTATTCACTCGCTGTTTGATATCAATTGGAAAAACTTAGTACAACCTGGCCATTCTCCACTTGGTCTTTCCAACGAAGAAAGGCCTTTTCCACTGGCCTTAACATTATAGTAACTCTGTAAGACTCTCCATTTGCTGTAGACTTTACTACCGTTTCACAAATCATAATGAAATTTCCACACATTCCATATACATACATATGAAGGGTGATAGGTGGCAAAATATAAAGATATGCTAATTGGATCTAAAAACTTTTGTTAAAAAATATTAAATCAATTTAATTTTCTTAATGCATGTTAAATTGGATACGAATTCATTACGAAACCAACTCATTTAGTTGCTTTTAGCGAAAAACTGGAAGATAGTTTGCTACGCCGATGATCAGGCATTTTATTTTTGGGCGAACTTACTGATCGTGATTAAGTAAACGGACTGAGAAAAACTCGACTTATATTCGAAAACACACAGCATTTTTAAGGGGAAATCTTATAATAACGGTAAAAAAATAACTCAGTTGGAGTGAACTTTTTGATGGTGTGGACTGTGAAGCCACTCAAAATTATATGAGAAGCATTGCACCAAAATGGAAGCCACGTCTAGCTTACCTTAACAACAACAACATTAGAGCATACAGAAAGTGATAGCTGAGCTAGTTCAGTAGAGTTGAGTTGATGTGGCAGCTGCTGCCAGCGTACTTAGTCCAATAGGACTGAGGCTCCTGCCTTCAACTTCTCGGTTGATCGAACCATTTTGTGTACCTTATAAAGGCAACGTAATTTCCAATATTCGCTGAGGCTATCTCATCGAGACAATCGAAGAAATATTTACCAAGAAATTTGTATCGCGCTGATATCAAGACTGGACATTGGCAGAGGTAGTGCTCGATGGCCTCCTACTCTTCGTCATCCCTGCAGCTGCAGCAGAAATAATTAGAATGATATCCCATTCGTTTTCCGTGAAGCCCCTTTAAACAGTGCTCAGTTATTTAGCCCGTCGTTATGCTAATGGAGAACCGGTCTAGAAGGATAAGATGTTTGGATTTCTTTTGCGTCCATCTTCGGTCATAGCTGTGTGGTCACGTTACACGTGAGGAAAGGAAAACTTCTGCCAAATGCAAGCTACCTCCTCTTTCGGAGGCAGGGAAGAATAAGCGGAAGTCAGTATTATATTCATATCTATACTGATGGGTGTAAAATCAAGGCACATCTACTTCTTGGTTTTACTGTAACTGCTTCAATAACCAAGTAGCTTTCAACTCAATGACTACAACCCTACGTTCCATGTGAAGATTGTGGACATTACTGAAGTTGCCAAATGAGCTGCCATTTCAGTGATAGGTAAGACCATAACGTGTGTGGTTATATAAAGAAGCATTTTACAGACTTTTGTAGGTAATTATAGTGAATATTACTTGGGTCTCGGATCACACGGATTTAGAAGGCAATGAAAGTTGAGCAACGATTTCACGCTTGAACACCACCATTGCCTTTGGCCAATTTTTCATGATGCTCCCAGCTCCAGCGTCATGACGGTGCCCAGGAATGTTTGGATGAAACTACAATCGAGTGTGGCGAATCAAACATAGTTGAATGTTTCCATGTATGCATATACATTTATTCAAAAAAAAAAAAAAAAAAATACTCGGAACGTCTTTCATTGATGCCGTCATTATATTAACATTTAGAAAGTATTTACATATATGAAAAACGTCACAAAAATTAACAGAGAGAGGCGGCCACACTTGGCGCTTAAAAAATGTGAGCTCAGAATTATACACAAATTCATTTGAATATGTACATATATATATACATATATGCATTTACATAACATACATATGCACTCTTAATAAAACTCGTTCAAGTGCTTAGGCGAGACTGCAACATCCACTAATTGCCCATTACAGGACACTTATATAAAATATTATATCCATATCCGTGCTCAGGCACACACACATACACGCATGTACAAAAATGATGGACAGCCGTAGAAAATGTCAAATAAATGTGTGCTAACATGTCATGCGATGCGCACACATAAGAGCATATGAAAATTTCACACACACCCATACAATCACTCCACAATTTGAGCTGGAAATGCAGCAAAAAAAGATACCAAAAAAAGAGCAAAAAGCAAAGAAAGTGCATATTGTAGGAGTGGCAGCAATAGATGAAATAGAGTGTACCTTTGCTGCATAAAGTAAGTTAAATTGATGTAGAAGGCAAAAAAGACCGTAAAGCAGCACAGCCAACATGCTGATGTCAAGCACGCGATGACGACAGTGGTGGCAGTCATAGCAGTCATGGCAGTCCTGACAGACTTTAAGGGCCATAAGTGGCATGGCAAAAAGTAATAGTTGAAGCTGCTCAAGAAGAGGAGTGAGTGCGACGAAAAGGACGCCGACTTCTTGTCAACGCGAAGTGAAATGAAGAGGTGTTGCAGCTGCAATGCATTTTGTTGCATGCAACATTCACACAGTAAGTAGATAATAGAGCGTATAAATTACACATTGTGCAAGCAATTTAGTCGAGACTTCTCACACATACACCAACGCAGCTGCGCACGCGTATGTGCATATGTCTATGAGGAAATGCAGTATTTTTTCTCACCTTCATGGTCTTTCACATAAATTTCTTCTTTTTATTCGTATAATAAGTAACGCCATTAGATCATGGCTCATATCACATGAAATGTTAAAATGTGAAATGTGCAAAAGAACCACAAAGGATAGTGCATGGCATGGCATGGCAATGACTGACTACATGCAGTTCTCCATGACAGACACTTTGACTAGCTAGCTGCCTGGCTGGATGCGCTCTTGCTCGCCACATTAGTGTTGCAAAGTAATGTGTGCAGTGTAATTTGAGACTTAATGTGTTGGAAGTGGTAAGTGCGCTAGCTGGACGTTCAAGCTAATGGGCTGCTCACTTACTTAGTAAACAATATTGTATGTACGTATGTATGTACGTGTGTACCTGAGTATAACAAAAGTGTAAAGTAACTAAGCACATTCTACTTATGTCAATGCAAATGGCATAGAAGCGAAAGCAAAGAGATGAAATTGCTTTTCTTGTGCAGCAAATGGAATTGTGGCCCAAGTATGTTGCAAGATTAATTTAAAATTTTTGAATATCAAGCAGGACACAACTTTACCAACAATATTTGGAAAACTCGAACACGTCTCCGAAAAAAAAAAGACCAGCGTTTTAAGCCCCCTTCGAACGACTGATGGCTTCTTATGAGGAGTTTTTGTTTAATGTCAGAAATACACTCAGAGTGATTGATATTCCCTACGAGACACTGGTCGAAATTAATAAGTAGAAAATTTACAAAAATTTCTTTCAATATCCACGCCAAATAGTATGTCAATGTCATAATTGGTATTTTTGTTACGCTTGTGTTTACTTAAAGACTAAAAATGCCTTCGTGGTTTTTGCATCACGATAATGCACCGTCGCATACAGCACTCATTCTTCGTGATCATTTCACCAAAAACTGCACGAACATCGTTCCCCAACTGCCATATTCGCCGGACTTATCACCATGTGACTTCTAGCTCTTCCAAAAACTCATAAGACTACTTTGAGAACACCGTTTGAGTCAATTGAGGAGATTAAACGTGAATAGGCGCGCTCTCTGAAGGCCAAATCAGAACGTCACTATTCGACATGCTTCGATAATTGGAAAAAGCGTTGGCATAATTGCACTGCATCGGCAGGGGACTATTTGGAAGACGACGAAATCGATGTAGCAGAATAGATAAGGATTTTTAATTTCACAAACAAATTCACTCTACTTTTTGCTCACAGAACATATTTATATTTCTGAAAATCTTAAAAAAAGTGGTTCTGACAACTCACCGGATGTTTGGAATCTGGCAAACTGCTTTATCGTAAAGTTTGACATTTTTAAAGATATACATATTCAAAATGCTTTGACA